CATATTACTGATTCGGAGAACCGCACTTTACGGAAATACTTGTTAGACTATTTAGAAAGGCTTCAGTAGGCATCACTTATACAACCATCGTAGGCACATGTAGCGCGTTAAAAGATTTTATCATCTTCAAAATTAATACATACTTAAGTTAACAAATGAGGTATTTTCAATCAATTTAGAAATTTATTAGCATAAAAGCGTCAATTGGTGGATTGCAGTGGCATAGATAGCTCCACGCCATTGCGGGATGAAGTGGATATTAACGACCTTCGTCGGGTTGAATAAAAATCCCCTTTAATTTCCCTCTCCACTAACTACGCTAATGATGCCACCATATATTGAGTAGTGAAGCCTTCATCAGGGTGTTTAAGAATTTTATTAAGTTCTCATCCATTCTCATAAGGCGTTCCATTTGTCATTATTTGAGTGTCTTGCCTCATGTTGGTGTGTATTTCCTCATTTCCTTTTCGAGGTTTCCTTTCCATTCTTTTTGCCAACGGCACTTAACTTATTGCCGTTTTCTCTTACTGGAGTTTTACCAGTTTTTGTATGTGATGCTTACCGTAATAAGTGTAAGTGGACATCCTACTCTTACTGATAGGATAGGTAAAGTTTGGTTAGGCTAGGGAGGCTATCATACTTCCTTTTTTCTCGGATTATTATTTACAGGAAGGATTAGGTCACTTAGTTACCGCGACAAAAAGCGATATGTTGTAACAAATCCGTATCTTCAACTTTACAAGTGCTTCGTTGCCCTGCAGTGGTCAGTAAGAACACCTTTACAACCTGTCTTGTAAACTGAAGCAGTGTTTTAGGTATCCTTGCCACTGTTTCCGGTACGGAGGATTTAGCCTGTCTGTTACCTTCTATATTCGTCCAGTAATGCTGTGATTCCTTCATTTAGATCGAATTATTTCGCTCAACAGAGTTCAATGGCAGACCGGTGAAGCGATTCTTTCCTGGTGAGAATATTTGCCACTTTATGAAGGAAGGATAAAACATGGCAAATTCTTAAAAGATGGTGTTACCAGAGCAGCTTAATGTCAAAATTATGTATTTTTTATAATTCTTACTGGTATTTTGCGTTTAGTGTAATTTTTGTTTTTGTACTCCTGCTATCACCTAATATGTATTCGCCTTAGGATAAATTCTATTTTTATATAAAATAACAAAAATGTATTTCACGTGAATAAAATAATAAACAAAACACTTATACCTACATAAAATTGGGCCCGCTGAGCGCAATTGCTAGCGTATGCCGACGACATCGACATTATTGTTTCAAATAAGGGCTACGTCTGCCTTATCGAAATTATATAGAGAAACAAAGCATGGGTAGTGATAGAACGATACGAGTACCGAGTACAGAATATCGATACTTT